TTTTGTCAAAATTCAAGGGGCAAGAGGGGAATTCTCTGCAGCGGCCAAGAGCCGACCTGGCCCAAAGGGGGCGCCATGGAAGCACGTGACTGAGCCGAGGGCCTCCATTGCCCCATTGCCGCTCCCCAGCTGAGCTGCTTGGGCTGCCCTGGGGGCCAGTTCCTTCCCCCTCTCCCCACACTGAGACCCAGGAGGAGCAAGGGAGGCCCTCCGTTCTCCCCCCCACACCACAAAAGGAGGCTGTTTCTGCCTGATTTCAAACCAGGGCCCTTTCGCGCGTGAGGCGAACGTGATAACCACTACACCACAGAAACGCAGCCTCCTCCAAAGGAAAGAGGGTCCCCCCTTGCCATCGCTTGGGGTGCTTTGCGCTCACAGGGTGTATATGACCATCCCCAGCGATTCTCTCTGGCAGCAGGTCCAGGCCGATTTCCACTCTGCCACACGGACTCTTTCCCAGCCAGGCAGCCCGATTTCTGTTTCCCCCTGGCAAAGCCAGGCCTCGGTCCCCGCCAGGCCCCAGATGGCTGGGTAAGCTGCAGGCTTCCTGCCGTCCTGCCCAGGCCCTTCCCGGCCGCGCCAGTGGTGTAGGGGCATCATGCGAGGTTCCCAATCTTGCGACCCGGGTTCGAATCCCGGCTGGCGCAGCTCCTGCTCTCCCTTTTGCATCCCAAGAGGGGAAGACGGCACCGTCGGAAACTGTTGCCTGGCTGTGCTGTGTTTATTACATATCACTCGTGTTGAGGAGGGAGCACATTGCCCCCAAGGCTAGTCGCCCCCGACTGCCTCATCCTCCAGGAAACTCCCTGGTTCCCTTTTCAAGCCACCCAGATTGGTGGCCTGCATTGTCCGCCCTGAGCAGCCCTGATCTGTCCACATGGCGGGATGGCCAGACGCCCCCACTGGACTCTGGGGTCTGGCGAGGGAAAGGGGGCTGCCCGTCATGCGCAGGCTGCGCTTCTGTGGAGTGGCCGCAATCACCTTCTTGCCTTCCTTCCATCTCTCCGAAGTCTTCCACTAATCAGTTTTGTGGGATTTTAATTGTATGGGAGAGGGAGAAAAAGGCTTCCCTCTTCCACTTTCTCCACATTTAAATTTAAATACCTCTATCATGCCTCCAGACTGAGGATTGTGGCTGCAA